AAGGGCAGCTTGCGGATCAACAGCTCGGTTGATTTCTGGTAACGACGGATCTCACGAAGTGCGACGGTACCGGGCCTGTAACGATGAGGCTTCTTGACTCCACCAGTTGCTGGGGCACTCTTACGTGCTGCCTTGGTGGCCAGCTGTTTTCTGGGAGCTTTTCCTCCTGTAGATTTTCGTGCGGTTTGCTTAGTACGAGCCAATTCAGTATTTTCCTAATTTCTCGAGTATATCTTTTTGGATAACAACCAAGATCTTATACCAGCCGCCAAATAATATGATTGGCTACAACCATTGGCTGATCGTGCAATACTTTTCTTTTGACTACTAGACACACCGCCTTAACGCCGCTAAAACTTGAATATTTTGAGCCAAAACAAACTCGTTCACTAAGAATTTGTATAAGAATTCTTTCCATAGACGAATTTGGAACCCACAAATCGAAGTTTGATACAAAGTATAGATGTTTGATACTAAATATGAGTATTTTGTCTACAAAAGACATCCGTTTTGGTGTCCGAATCGAATAACAAGCAGTACTAGCCTTACATATTTGAATAATGATGATTTATTTTCATATTCAAATATTCCTTTCACGATTGTTTCCTAAGAGGTTCGTTTTCTTCATACTTAGGGAAAAAATTTCAGTGTCAATCAATTCATCATCGGAAATCTAAAGAGCTAAATATGTCTGGTCGTGGTAAAGGAGGAAAAGGCCTTGGAAAGGGAGGTGCCAAGCGTCATCGTAAGATCCTTCGGGACAACATCCAGGGAATCACCAAGCCCGCCATCCGTCGTCTTGCTCGTCGTGGTGGAGTCAAGAGAATCTCGGGTCTGATCTACGAAGAGACCCGTGGTGTCCTCAAGGTTTTCCTTGAGAATGTCATCCGTGATGCCGTCACCTACACCGAGCACGCCAAGAGAAAGACCGTCACAGCAATGGATGTTGTCTACGCTTTGAAACGCCAAGGACGTACCCTGTACAGCTTCGGCGGTTAAAATGGAACTTTATAAAAACAACGGCTCTTTTAAGAGCCACCACATGCTAAAAAGATCATGACTGTATCCTTGAATTACACACACACACACACACAGCTAACATCCAAAGTGAACGAATCTTATAATTGCAGTCTAGAAAAAAATAAACAAGTTCCCTTTAATAACCTGAAACAGATCTTTAGATTTCTTTTGTTTTTTGAAAAAAAAAATCTCGAATCAAAAGTCGCAATAAGAAAAGAAGTGTTCGTATATGATGCTATCAGAATAGTCCTTATCGGGATAAAACCGCCAAATACTTAGCTTTCTCTCATCGCTCGGTACGCGTTATTCGCACATGTTTGTTTACAAGACATAGAGCAAAATCGAAAAAACGATCTTCCCAACCTTACTTTGTATGAGTTATAAAAGTTTTATTTTCTGGTTTGTGTGATTATGGCATAATGATTGGGTTGTGTGCGYTCATCATGAGATAGTGAAACTGGTGAGTGTGTGGTAAGGTCTATAGAACTGAAACTAAGTGTAGTCTTTATTATTGKTATATAAGCATATAATCATTTCTTTTTCGTCATTTGGTGGCTCCTAAAAGAGCCGTTGTTTGCTGTTTTCTAAGCTTAGGAACTTTTCTTTTCTGCCTTCTTGGGCAGAAGAACGGCTTGAATGTTGGGCAACACACCACCTTGAGCAATGGTAACCCCTCCGAGAAGCTTGTTCAACTCCTCGTCGTTTCTGACAGCCAACTGCAAGTGACGGGGGATGATTCTGCTCTTCTTGTTGTCACGAGCAGCGTTACCGGCCAACTCGAGGATTTCAGCACTCAGGTATTCAAGAACAGCAGCCATGTAGACTGGAGCACCAGCACCA